TGTCTCAAAAAAAAAAAAAAAAGAAAGAAAATTACTTCTGAACGCTTCGAAATTCTTTCTAGATTTGATGCTTCTGTTTTAAATTATGTATCCCCTAACTTTCAATTTATCATTTGAAAAATGAAGGCTTTGAGTTTCATTGATTTTTGTCTTCTTTTTTTTTTAATTTTTTTTTTAAAGAAACTCTAAAGGAGAAATTTTATCCTGGCTTAAACTATATTCTATTTGGAACTATCCTCTGTTGAAGCAAACTTTCTTCCTTTCCAGGAGACCTCTCATATCCCTTTATTTTTCCCTCTTACCCTCTGTAGGAGCAAACAGTGTCGTGTATCTGTCAGTAGAAGGACTGGTTTCATCTGTACAGGAAGGGATAAAATTTACAAAACAGAAAGTGGAAAAGCAAGATACTGTGATTCAAGAAAATGGGAATGGCGTGGAATGTTTTGAAAAGAACGGTCATTGTACAGCTTGTCTCACTGGAAAATACCCTGTCGAGTTAGAATGGTAGCTGGCAGGGGCAGATAGGTCATTTCAAGATACAAAATTGGTCAAGCAGTTGCAGTGGTTCTGCCTTTTGTTACTTTGTTGGTACAATATAAAATGCCGATGCTTATGTTTTACCTTTATATTTTTTAAGATTTTTTTAAGAGGTTCCAAAGCTTTGTCTAAAGGCTGAATATAAATGTCTTAACATAACAATTATGAGAAAGACATGATGGCTATGTTAGCCACTTGGATGAGAGTTTTCCAAACTGCATATAGAAGTAACACACTGTATCCTATGAGAGAATTAATGTACACAATTATGATCTAACAAAAAACAAATTAAAAAAAAAAGAAAAAAAAAAAAAGAGGTTCCAAAGCGCTATAAGTGAACTAATTAATTGTAACAATTGCTACTTGTATATAATATAACAATGGATGGTTCTTCCCCTCCTTCCCCCCACCCATCCCCAAAAAGTCATTCTAGGCAAGGTATTCCTTTTTTTTACAATCATTGGCTAGCCTTTCATACCTGGTCCAAAAAGGCAGGTGGCAACTCATTTGCCAAGTCCTTGCTTTAAAGGATTTGCACGGCTAGGTGCCTGTGGCTCAAGTGGCTAAGGAACCAGCCATGTACACCCAAGGTGGCAGGTTCGAATCCAGCCCGGGCCTGCCAAACAACGACGGCTGCAACCAAAAAATAGCCTGGTGTTGCGGC